TCGAGTTTTTCTATCTCACTCGGGTACCAGTGGTGTCCATATCATGACAGGTTGCCCTTTGCTTGAAGATTAAAACCTCTCTAATTTTTATGAGTTTGAACAAACAGTCGTAAGCGGTACTATTGGACTATATTTCATCGATCCAGATGCTGCCAACAGGATTTTAAAACTATTTTCGGTGAATATTACTTTGTTAGAAACTAAAAGGCATAAAATATCAATTCGGTGTTTCGTTCCCTGGCCAATATTTTATGGAGAAAATTCTCATAGTCTTTATATAGCAAATAACACTCTTCGCGCAGTCTTTGATTGTCAAATTTGGACTCGTTCTATTGAACACTCACAAGTTGGTTTCTACTTCCTCTTTTGTGAAGCTTGAGGGAGAGGAAGCCCAGAGGAATGCTAAGCGTCGGATTGAACGTGAAAGAGGCCGCCGGGAAGCAACTGCTGATATGTCTGAAGACTTATCAGAGGGAGAGAAAGGAGATGCAGTCACTGACATGTCAGCTCATGGTGAGAGCACCAGAGCAAGACTGCCCAGAATACATTCTGTTGATGTGATGGAGACATTGAAGGGAAAAAAGCTATACATAGTATTAGTAAGGCATGAACTCAACTTTGTTGCTTTAGTCTTCAAATATAACTGTAGAAAGGACTATACGGGGATCTGTTGTAACTACTACCTACTATGTTTGATGAGTGGCATTGTCTATCAATTGAGCTTCCAGATATTTATAAGCATTGTAGCTATCGTGTAAATATCAAATAAGTAATTTCTAAGAGATTTATTCTTTTTAGGAACTGAAACATTCATCAAACATAGTAATCGAGCTTCCAGATCTTTATAAGCATTGTAGCTATCGTGTAAATATTAAATAATTAATTTCTAAGAGATTTATTCTTTTAGGAACTGAAACATTCATGATGATGATTTTCGCATTTGTGATGGTGTATAATTAATTTTGACAACTAGTCTTCATGCAGCCTTCATGGTCTGATACGTAGTGAAAATATGGAGCTTGGTCGTGATTCTGATACTGGCGGTCAGGTTATTTTTTTGGTTTAGAAGCTTGTTCAACTTTGCTTTTTTCTGTTTTACTCTAAGTTGGCATTATGAAAATTTTTATTGTCACAGATAGTAACAGAATTTTATTTTCTAGGTTAAGTATGTCGTGGAACTTGCCAGGGCTTTGGGCTCGATGCCAGGCGTTTATCGAGTTGATTTGCTGACTAGACAGGTGTCATCACCAGATGTGGACTGGAGTTATGGGGAACCTACAGAGATGCTGACACCAAGAAACTCGGATGATTTTATGGATGAGATAGGTGAAAGCAGTGGTGCTTATATTGTCCGGATACCGTTTGGTCCAAGAGATAAGTATATCCCAAAAGAGCTCCTGTGGCCTCACATTCCTGAATTTGTTGATGGTGCTCTCAATCACATTATACAGATGTCCAATGTTCTTGGCGAGCAAATTGGTGGTGGAAAACCTGTTTGGCCTGCTGCAATTCATGGCCACTATGCTGATGCAGGTGACGCTGTCGCTCTCTTATCTGGTGCATTAAATGTACCGATGCTTTTCACTGGGCATTCACTTGGAAGGGATAAGTTGGAACAACTTTTGAAACAAGGCCGGCTATCAAGGGATGAAATAAACACAACATACAAGATTATGCGCAGGATCGAGGCTGAGGAATTATCTCTTGATTCCTCTGAAATTGTCATAACTAGCACTAGACAGGAGATAGATGAGCAGTGGCGTCTGTATGATGGTTTCGATCCAATTTTGGAGCGTAAATTACGGGCAAGGATCAAGCGTAATGTTAGCTGTTATGGCAGGTTTATGCCTCGTATGGTGGTAAGTAGTCTTCCAATTTTCATTACCTTATAGACCTTATATTTGCATTTGTTGTGCCTTCTATTGGAGCTTGACTTATAGATCCTCTATCTGCATAAGACAATATTGTTTTCGTACAATAACTTGGTTGAGCAAGAGTTGGTTAGGGTTGATGCTTGATTCTTATTTGAAGATGGGCATGTTAACTTTATTATTAAAAAAATTTAATGTATATACTCTTCTCAGAAAGATTTAAAGGTACCGAGTGGCTAGGTGTCTGATGATCTAAATTGAAGATGATGAAACACAATCTTCTATGCAGGTTTATGATGCACGTGCTTTGCACTATATTTAAGAAAATTTATTGTGCTTCAAATGGATGGAGTAAAATTCTGTTAATTGATCATTTTGGTCTAAAATCATGGTTATATTGTATATTCAGTAGATACAACGTACAGCTTGGCAGGAACCTTGTCTTAAAATAAATAGATTTTTCTATAAGTGGCTGTTGATATATAAGTTAATCTTCTGAAAGATCCACAGAGAGGAATGTTCCTTTAGTTGGGTCTATTTTTGTGCATCATGTCTCAACCAAGTTCAGACTTGAGAAGACTGTTATCAACCTGAATTCACTGTATATAGAGCTTGGTTGATAACCTTCTAATAATTTCAGATGCATGGATGTCTTTTCTTGAGGTAGCTAAAGATTTTTAGGACTTTGCAGATAATTCCTCCTGGAATGGAGTTCCATCATATTGTTCCACAAGAGGGTGACATGGATGGTGAACTAGAAGGAAATGAAGACCATCCTGCTTCCCCAGATCCACCTATATGGTCCGAGGTTCTAATCTTTCCCTATCCAGATGGTTAGACTTCCTAGCTAGCTATGTAGTTGGAAAACCTCCCGTTTTGCTGGTGAAGTGAAGGCATTAATGATGTAACTGCATTTTATTTGACCATCATATTGATGACATTTCTAACATTGGATTTTGCAGATAATGCGTTTCTTTACCAATCCTCGTAAACCTATGATACTTGCCCTTGCAAGGCCAGATCCAAAAAAGAACATCACAACTTTGGTCAAAGCATTTGGAGAATGCCGTCCACTAAGAGAGCTTGCTAACCTTGTGCGTTTGGATCTCTAAAGTTAATTAGTTGATAACGGCATTTCATCAATTATGTTTGTAAGCTGAATTAGTTCACATCATTTTATCTATTACATTTCCGATTTGATCTTCTGCAGACACTAATTATGGGTAATCGAGATGGAATTGATGAAATGTCAAGCACCAGTGCCTCTGTTCTTCTCTCAGCACTGAAGCTTATTGACAAATATGATCTGTACGGGCAAGTGGCATATCCTAAACACCATAAACAGGCTGATGTTCCTGACATTTATCGTCTAGCAGCAAAAACAAAGGTATCCTTTGTTTGTTTCATATTATGTTTTGATGCTTTGAGATGCAACTGGGAAAGATGAATGGTTTTTCTTCAATAACCATTTCCCTCACTTTGCATACTGTCTTTGTCTGTGCACTTGTCTTTTGTACAGCTTGCATAAGATGTTCAAATTGTTCATGTATCTGCTTATATTCCTTTGATATTTAAAACAAATTACAAACGAAATTTCACACCACTATTGCTAGTTTTCCATTATAAATGGTACCCCTTGTTAGCATAAGGTGAAGTAGTTCATTGGAACATCCAGTCCTCTCATTTTTCTAAAGCGATACATTTCTCTCTGAAGTAGAAAAATATTTTATTTTGTGTGTTATATTGAGGAGATCTGTTGACTCAACTTAATAATCGTGCTGTTATTTTGATAATTTCGTTCTGGTTTCATGTATGCCCTTGTATGATCCATGGTCAAATTCCGTCTACTGTTTCTAACTATTGGTTTTGCATACACTTATAATGACTTGTACACATTTGCATAGCCTTAATCTGTGCTGTGGGTGTTTTATTTACATGCAATTCAATTGGTCCATTTATTCTTTAATTAGATTTCTGATTTCAAATTATACAACAGAAGCAAAAGATGAAATTTTGCTATGAACTGAGATTAATATTACTTAACTTTCTTGCAGGGTGTGTTCATTAATCCAGCTTTCATTGAACCCTTTGGGCTTACGTTAATTGAGGTGCTCTTTTTACTACCTATAAATAATTCTCTCATATATTGACAGCGTTGAACCCATATGATTACTCTGTCTGTTGAACAGGCAGCGGCACATGGGTTGCCAATTGTTGCTACAAAAAATGGAGGTCCAGTTGATATACATCGAGTATGCTTACTTATTGCTCTCAGTCTTTGTCAGATAACTATTTAAATCCGTACTTGGAAATTCCACCACGGGTTCTGAAAATTGATTAGAGATATTTCGCAGGTCCTTGACAACGGTGTTCTTGTTGATCCTCATGATCAGCAGTCCATTGCTGATGCTCTTCTAAAACTTGTTGCTGATAAGCAGCTTTGGGCAAGATGTCGGCAAAATGGATTGAAGAACATTCACCTGTTTTCTTGGCCAGAGCATTGCAAAACATACCTATCTCGAATAGCAGGCTGTAAGCCAAGGCATCCACAGTGGCAAAGAAGTGATGATGGAAATGAAAGTTCAGAATCTGAGTCGCCTAGTGATTCCTTGAGGGACATACAGGATATATCTTTGAATTTGAAGTTTTCACTAGATGGAGAGAAGAGCGGGGCTAGTGGAAATGAGTACCCTATAGAAATTGAAGGAAACTCTGCTGATAGAAAGAGCAAAATTGAGAATGCTGTTTTATCATGGTCAAGAGGCATCAAGGATACAAAAAAAACAGGGTCCACAGAGAAGGCAGATTCGAATACCAGCTCAGGAAAATTTCCTGCATTGAGGAGGAGGAAACATGTTTTTGTTCTTGCTATTGATTGTGTTATGGATTCGGGTCTTCTTGAATCCACTAGAAAGATTTTTGAGGCAGTGGGAAAGGAAAAGACTGATGGTTCTATAGGATTTGTTTTGTCGACATCCCTAACGATATCAGAGATACACTCTTTTCTGCGCCTAGGAGGCTTGAGCCCTAATGACTTTGATGCTTTCATCTGCAATAGTGGTAGTGATCTGTATTATCCAAATCTGAATTCTGAGGATGGTCCTTTTGTTGTTGACTTCTATTACCATTCACACATTGAATATCGATGGGGTGGAGAAGGATTGAGAAAGACTTTGGTTCGTTGGGCTGCTAATGTCACTGGTAAAAAGTCAGAGAGCAAGGAGCAGATTGTGACTGCAGCCGAACAACTTTCAACTGATTATTGTTACACTTTTAGAGCACAAAAGCCCACAATTGTAAGTCTTCTCCTCTTGAACCACATTCTCAGGAAACAACTGATATCTTCTTATTCAATCAGGAAGTGTTCTTGATATATTTTCATCCAATTTTTATTTTTCTTTTCAGGTCCCCCCTGTTAAGGAGCTCCGGAAGTTGCTGAGAATTCAGGCTCTTCGTTGTCATGCTATCTATTGTCAGAATGGTACCAGGATAAACATAATTCCTGTACTAGCATCTCGTGCCCAAGCTCTAAGGTAAGAGGTTTTATGCTAATTGTCATTAATGGCTTGATGATGCTTTTCCAATTTTCTTTATCTTATAAAATCTCTCACACACAACATTCAATGCTGAAGAACTCCCCTTCCCCGTTCTCCCCCCACCCCTTCGGTGGAAGTAACAGATCTATGACAATTAAGCCTTTACAAATGGTAATCTGCAATATTGATTTTCTTCATATAAGCAAGAAAAGGTGGTTAGGTGGTGGGTTAAATTGACCTATTGGACTTTTAACCTTCATTTCTCATGTGTGATCAGTAACTATGTGTCTTGGAGGTCTTGGTTCTGGTATATTAAGTGTGGGTGACTAAAAATTCTGTGCTTGCAAGTGGGAACAGCAACAATGACTGGAGATCCAGAGTCAAGCAGAGTGGGTCACTTCCTAAATCTCTTTTTTGCTGGTGCCTTCCCAGTTATGTTGCTGACTAATTTGAATCATATCACATGGTGTTACAGACAACAATGTGGTATTCAACAAAATTAAATAGTTTGTTGTAAAAAAAAATTAATTAAATGAGTTGTTGTCTTTTGCTATTCAAATTTCTCTTCGTCTGTTTGATGAATCTTCCAATGTTTTCTATTTCCCTGCATGATTAAACATTCAACGTGTTCAACTTTATACTTCATTGTTATCTACAGAAATCTAAAAGCGTCAAACAAAATTTCAGGTACCTCTATGTTAGGTGGGGTGTGGACTTGTCGAAGATGGTGGTTTTTGTTGGAGAATGTGGTGACACAGATTATGAAGGATTGCTTGGAGGGCTGCATAAAGGTGTTGTACTGAAGGGAGTTTGTACCAGCGCGAGCAGTCTATTACATTCTAACCGGAACTACCCTCTCTCGGATGTTATCCCAGTCGACAGCCCCAACGTTGTTCATGCACCCGAGGACTGCACGAGTTCTGACATCCGTAGTTCTTTGGAAAAACTGGGGATTTTGAGGGTGTAGGAAATCAAAATCCTATTCTATTATAACACTCGGGTTTGATGAATCTCATTCGCTCATCTCAATATTTTCCATTGCTCATCCCTTTTCCCTGCCTTTCCTGCCACAAACATGCAAGCATTCTCCTCATTTCTCCGAGGATCCTTTTTTCGGTTTTCCTCGAAACCCTAATGGCACCTTTTGCCTAAACTTGTGTTTCTCCATTTTATTTACGTTCCTTGGTTATTTTCTGTCAATAGGATGCTGGTGGTCCTTTTGGCATAGTAGAAGACTGGCAGCCATTGGAAGCTAGTAACATATGGGAATCTCTTGTACAAAACTTCTCTTTTGGGTTTGTTGAATATGATGATGCCAATTTTATCTCTCTCTCTCTCTCTCTCTGATGGAGAAAAAGCATAGGGAAACAGCAATCAGCTTCTGAAGAACACTACTGCAAAAGCTCTTTTAGAAGCTTCATTACCTTTCAAGGCTTCTGGTGCCGCCTACTTCAGTTGTTGCAATTTGGACTCAAGTTAAATATGCATATGTATACATCTAATATATATATATATATATCTCTCCAATAATAAATGCCCTGTTATTTTTTAACATTTCTGGTGGGATATTGTGCTAATGTTTATATAGCCATCCCATATCTGCTTACTCCTCCCCCCCCCCCCCATTGTGACGTTGAAAAGAGACTCTGAGCCATAAATAAACATATAATCAGAAATTATTATATAAACATGCACTAATACGCATTAAGCTTGATTAAGGCAAGAAAATTATGGTTGTTTGTTAGCTGTTAAGAAGTTTATAAGTATAATTAGGAAGGAAATTTAGGGAGCAAGTAATTTCCTAATTAATGCAAATTATCAAACACACGTTTCTAATATAATATTACTTTTTTCTTCCCCAAGAAATCAAACTCAGAGACCTACCCACAAGTCAGGAAAGTTTTCAACTAATATACATATACATATACATATACATATACAAGTTTTTAACGTATTTTCGCCTTTTTGAAAGCTTGCCCATTTTTCAACTCTCAAGAAACGTGCTATATACATGTATATATGTATATATAATTTTGATTATATTTAATTACGATGCTTATTGAAAACTTTCATAATTTTATCCGTAAAACTTAATTTATTTTTTTTAATTATATCAATAATTATGCTAATTAATTACTGTGTATTAAAATTAATATGAAAAAAAAAAATTTAATTATCATAAAAGCACGAAATCATGCGTCACAATGAACCTAAACATTTGGCTTTCCTCTCGTAATTATTACTACTATTATTATTATTATTATAATAATGATATATTATATAAGTTCTTAAAGTGATTATACACAATTCATTATTTTTATACACATTGCATATACAATTAAAATACAATCATCTCTAAAAACATATCATGTATTACATATTTTAATTTAAAAATAAATAAAATACGTGCATGCTATTTTATTTTTGTATTTTTAATTCCGTAAAGTGTAGGATTTAATCATTATTTGGTGCGTAATTATTTTATAATCGAACAAATTTTAAAACATACCCTTATACGAGACGTTGAAATAGAATTCGAACCTAAAAAACGAGACTAAAAATAGTTCGGTTTAATGATGTTACGTGTCGGAATTATCAATATTATGTGTTACGTGTATATAATAAATTATGTGAATTTAACCTAATTGATTTTGAGGAAAAAAATAAAATAAAATAATTTTGACAGTAATTTTAATTTTATTAGTAATAATATTACACTTATTAATAATAAATAAAATTGGAAAAATATTTATATGTATATATATATATATATATATTAAATTGGATCGGTTTTCCAGTGCCGTGCAATGAATACAGAGAATTGATTGATAACCTACCATCTAATCTTACACTTGTCTCTCTCCCCCTTCAAATAATCAAAAACCTAGAAATAAAAACCCTCTTTAAATGTTGCAGTTGGTGCAGTTAGCTCGCTGGCTTTCCCAAGCTTTCCCATCTCCATTTCTCTCCTCCCATATTTGACCCATATATATATATTATATACATATATAATTCTGATCAGCTTTTTGTGCTTGTGATATAGATATATATAGGTAGACCTAGATATATGTATTTGTGCATTTGCGTCTTGTGGGCAGGATCAAAGACCTGCAGATCATGAGTTTGAAGGGAGAAGCTGTTTGTTTGAAGAGAAAAGAGAAGAAGAAGAAGAAGATGGAAGAATACCAGGCAGTTCTACCACTTGAGCTGGTCGATCATGACGGTGATAACCAGGATGGTAAGAAGAAGGTGAAACGGTGCGTGTTGGTGTCGTTTCGGGAGGTGCCGGAGTATATGAGAGACAACGAGTTCATTGTTGGTTACTACAGAGTCAACTGGCCTCTCAAAGAAGCTCTCTTTAGCCTCTTCCGTTGGCACAACGAGACCCTTAACGTTTGGACGTAAGTACATACACACACACATATATTTATATATAAACAAACACACACATATACATATGTGTGTGTGTCTTTAGTGTTCTTGAATTAGTTTTAGCTTGGAAGAAATGATGGAATTGAGTAATACTGTACATGGGTTTTGATGAAACTATACTCGAGTGAATTTCTTTACATATATGGGTTTGTATACATGTCTGTGTGCGTGTGTGTATATATATATATATATATATATATGTATATCTAGTGGTTTAGTTTTAAAAGGTTGTGTGTATTGAATTGAAATTGCAGGCACTTAATTGGGTTTATTCTGTTTTTGGGTTTAACAATGGCGAATTTTATACAAGTACCAGACGTAGCTGATCTTCTCAGTTTCATTACCAGGTTTAATTTCCTCAACTTTCTTCTCTTTTTTACTTTTGTAAAATTATATTTTCTTCTCTAAATATATACAAAAATCATGTATTTTTTTTTAAAAAAAAAAATTAAACAAAAACAAATATAATTAATGGTAAATTACAAAATTATTTCCCAAAATTTAGAATTTCTTCCATTTTAATCCTTAAATATCTTTTTTTTTTTACAACAATTTAGTTTTTAATATTTTGTTATTTATTTTAAATACTCGTTTTCTTCAATTTTCAAAGGAAAAACTAAAATAATAATAATATTATTATTAATTTATTAATCTATTGATTTAATTAATGAATTAAATTTTTTTTATTATTTGAAATTCAATTGTAACACCCAAAAAAAAAAAGAATATTTGAAAAACAAATTATTCTTAATTTTCCCAAATGGGACCTAGAAAATGAGAATAAGACCAGGAAAGTGGGCCCATCAATTGAGGCCCATTAATTGGGGCCCATTAATTGAGGCCCATTAAAGCCGTCTATAACTGGATCGGGACAGCCATTCATTATTAATTTTAAAATATTTTTACAATAATTGAAAATTTATTTTCTTCGAATTAATATTAGTAAATTTTAATATTTAAAATTAGTTAATTGATATTTTTCTTTTTTCAAAAATAAATAATTTAATTATTATAACGTGACGTGGCAGATCTTTCCCTATGAGTGGAGACGTAAACGTTTCTCATGATTCCAAACAATTCTTTGTGGTAAGTTCCCTTAAAAAAAATATAAAATATAAAATTATTTTCCTAGCTAATTTTATTTAAATATTTAAATAAATTTAATTTAATTTAATTACGACGTTATAAATAAATTTAAAAAAGTTTACGTAACATAAAATATATTTTAAATTTCACAAAAATTAATTTAATTTTTTACATATTTTAATTAACACTTCCATCGTCGGTAAATTACATGCAGGGAGCGGCAGATTTGAAGACAATAAAACCTGCAGAAATGAACGTGCCGTCGCC